GATGCCTCCCATTGCTGTTTAGATAACGTTTCCATGGCCACTTTGGTGGATACGATATTTTTCACGCGATGCGCCAAATCGTTGAATTGTGCGAACCACGCTATACAGTCTTCATCGCGACGGAAGTGATACGACGATAACGCGTCATCGTACGCACATCGCAGTAGCCTATGCTAAACGCGTCATGTTGATACGCGTACGACGACATGTCTTCTTTGTCGGATTTCATCTTGCGTAAGACACATTCCAGATCGGCGTAGACGATGAACGATACCCGTTCTCGATTGTTATAGTTGTTGAATTCGAGCCATCTGTCGTCCTCGCTCGGCAGTCGGATGGCGCAGTTGTTGATCTTCTGGCAGTCCACTTCGTGCAACTGCAATTTTTCGCACGAACTGAAGTAATGAAGGCACCTACAAATAATAAAGAAATTTTTTCTATTTCTTTTTTACTGTTTTTTTATTGACTATTTTTTTATTATACTTACCGATCACAAATATATTTCCTGCTCTCGTTCCTAGTAATTTGTGATCTTATAAGGCGGGATAGATTTTTTATCCACGCAAAGTGTCTAATGTTGTCGTTGCGTGAATGTTGTAGGTACAGGAGATTGACATGCTTCTCCTTCTTGTCATTGGTGAGCCGCAGAGGAAAGACCTGTCTATTTTCGATGCTGTAGACGTTGATCGATACCGCGTTCAACCGTTCGAATTTCGGAATGTCTTTTAATGTCATTGGAAATTCGATACCCGCGAGATTTAATACTGCGGTGTAATGCGGGTATGATGATTCCCGATTTACATGTCTTTCTGCGGGGTACAGAGCGGCGACCACTGACCACGCGAAACATGCATTGTCCGTCGAATAAACACTGACTACCGCTCGTTTCGTCGCTATTTCTCATGGCACTTCGATGTGACATTCCGCGTGCATTGGATTATGCTTATTCACATTCACTATCAAATTGAGGATTCGCGACAATGCCCACCCGCTGTCGCGTTCCTGGAATTCTTCGAGCGATGCTAGGATAGGCTCGACGACGTGTCGCTCGTACCACTCGCGCATATCGGTGCAACGATATATCTCGCTGTTCTTTGTAATTATGCTCTTATTAATACGTTTATCCTTCGTCGCAAACTCGCCATTGAACGCGGTGTTCACTTTTAGACTGCCGTGTCTTTCTACAGCGTCTCGCACTCGCTTGAGCACTACATCGCCAGCGTCTTCTAAAAACCGTCGCGGCTCGATGTGATTAGAGTTTATCACCGCACCTGTCAATATACGGCTCTCAAACGCGACATCAATCTCTCGCCAGATAAGAGATTTCGTTGCCACTCGCGTACTCGCCACCAATGTGCACGAAACGTCACTCCAATTCTAACTTTGCCCCCGCGAGTCGCGCGATCCTCGCCACCACGGATTGTCTGTATCCAATGGTGAGGCGCTGACCTTGGCACGACAAACACTTGGCAGCTCTTCGAGCTGCTTGATGTATTCGTCGCACTGTTGCCATGAGAAACACTGAGAAACACGTCAAAGTAGCGACCTGGTCGCACTGTTCCAGCAATTCACGTTCCACTCGCTCGTGGTTTTTTTTAATGTGTGCAAAGTGGATATATGCTGCACGAGAATATAATGTATAAAGGTAGTCTGCAATTTGTGCACGACCTGCCGTCTAGCCTACCGAAAGAACCGATCTCATGCACCCTGACGTGATACATTCCTCCCT